GATCCTATCCGAGGAGTCATATGTCCACCCAGAGATCTACAGACTGATCGAGATGCCTTTTCAGCTGGCTGCCCTGGTTAGTTGGTTGATTGGTTGGCTGGGTTCTTGGTTTGCTGGTTATTTGGTTGGTTGCTTGGTTACTTGATTGGTTGGTTTGTGCGTGTGTTTGTGTGTGTGCACACACCCTGTTTCTAACGGGCTTCACTTCCTGAGTCACAGATGTTTTTACGCAGAAGGCACAGGCCTGTCTTGGATACAAATGCCAACGAAGTTATTCCAAGATAGCCTCAAGAGCTGTTGCTCCGTATTTGGCCGATCGGTGACGTTACAAATCTGGATGATGTGGTGCACTGCATTATTGTCAGTGCAATTCCTAGTTAGTTTCACATTGTGGTTTAGGAGGCAGGTGGATGTACGAAGCAGTGACCACACTTTTTCATTGTGCCATCACCATTCGCGAAAGTTCGCTGGCATGGTAAAATTTGAGTACTTCAGCATACTTGGCTTGGACCACAAGAGCCGTCCAGAAACGTCAGTGTGTTCGTGTTGAGGGAGGCAGCAGGTTGCCCATCTTGATGCTCCAAGTTCGGAGCCACCAATTTAGTCGACCAGCATTCAGCCTGCCGGGGCACAGCCCAACGTTCGACCTCGAAGCAGTGAGCAAAATGCCGCTGGGCCCCGACAAGTTCGGCTCTACTGATGAGGATCATGCACCAAAGGAGCGTCATGCAACCTACTACGGATAATGTGGGCCGGTTGCGCATATATCTACAACCCATTCACTGAGCCCGGTCTTGTAGATGTTCTATTGTTATCGTTGTCGGCCAGACTATAGCTGCAACTGTGCTTCCTGATTGTTGGATGCCATGGACTTCACCACGAGATTGGGAATGTTGTCGGATGATTCGCATCGGAGCCGGCCTTTGCTACAACACGACACTTATCCTATGACGCAAAACATTACGGTGGGTCCTGCAGCTAATCCAACGTTGGCCGAAGTCACAGCTACAGCCCTCCAGTGCTCCAACCTCACTCCCGCTCCTTTCCCCCCCGAACTCGACCTGCAGCGGAACCGTACTGTGCAAGATGGTTCGGGAATGTTCGGGACGTCTTTTGGCGCCACCAGCTTCGACGTGTATGAGACTGACACCAACGCCGGCTGGGTTACTTCCGACGACAGCTCCAGATCCTGCGACCCGCTCCATACCTGCCACTGATCTCCCTTGCAACAAGCCCCGGCAATATACCTCCGATCGCTGACATCAGCGCTGGAGCAAACCGATCAACTCCATTTCCTATTCAAGTATAGGGGAACATGAGCAAGCTATTATGCTGGGACAAGTTGTATGCCTGTCTTTGCAATTACCACAGCTTCTATAGTCAAACTCGGGCACGGCAGGTCTATGTGCAATGCAGTGAGGAGTTCAAGATACAGGGGCATTAACAACATTGGCCTACACCGCCGATGCCACCTCCACCACCGCCGCTGCCGATAGGAGCATTACCGATTACGCCTCCGACCGTATCCCACCACAGTACCATCGATGCAAAGAAGTTCCATCAGACGGGCTTCCAGATGCGGCCCAAGACAAAGATGCTGAACGAATTCAAGTCCTGGCCACCAACAGTCAACACTGTAAAAAGTGGAGTGATGTCGGAAGCGAACAAATGGATTGCGGCAGCGTTGCTACGCTTTCAACGCCAAACAAAGCAGTCACAGGACATCCTCGAGAATGCGTCGCCTGAATTTCTGCCGAAGTTGGACAAAGTGTTGGACGAATGGGGCCTCGCAAATGCCGCTGCTTCCAAACTCGCGGACGAGCGCCAGATCAAGGTGCGCCTTCAGAACGTTCTGCTTTGCGCAGTTTTGAGTCTGCACTCGCCGGACGAAAGATGCGGTACTGGATACATAGTCCTACTAGTCATTATTCGTCAACTAGTCGCCGACTCCCGGCACCTGAGCCATAGCACAACGTGGGTGGAGAAAGCAGTGATGAGAGTCGATGAGAGTCCTTGGCGGTTCAGCTTCAAGAGGATCAACAGTTGCTCCGATTGGGCGCTGTCAATCAGGTCACACCAGCTCCATGACGCGGGGGGCTACACTACTTTTCAACAGTGGCTCTGGTTTGCAAGAAGATCCGTTCCTGCTACTCATCATACTTTGAGGGTGGCTGAGTGGCTGGTACAAGCTGCCGACATCATCAATGGCGCCCTTCGGATGTCAGGTTCCAAGGGCCTCAGCCCTACAAAACGAAGATCCGGTGCAGCATGTGGTACAGAATGCAAGGACGACCAAACAGGTTTTATGTTTTCGTCAGGATCGGAGAAAACCGCTATCGCGGCATCTTTGAGGTCACTCTCGATCTGCTCAACTAGGCGACCCTCCACAGTGTCATCAGCTTCATCACTTGGGCACCATTCCGTAGATGTTCACATTGGACGCACGACAGCCGCTGCCTACTTCACTCTGACGACCTACTTGGTTGTATCACTTGCTGGTCACACGGTGAGCTTATTACTTGGTGGACAGCGTCTGCGTTGATGCGAGTTCAATTACATTGTTTTCGTCTTCGGTCGTTGCACCATTGGCCTTGACGTGGATCGTGTGATGTCGGCCGTGGTTGAGAGAGTTGCCAGTTGCATGTTGTGTGTGTGTGTTCTGTACCATTCCTGCTTGAGTATATAAGCATGCATCCACAGCGCGGTGCACGCAGAACTCAGCTGCGCTTCGGTCAAACGCGTGAAGCACTGCAGCCGAGGCCGGTTGGCAATAGCTTCCAATCCTTTCGTGACCAGACGTACGAATACCGCCGGACTTCAGTTCTAGTCAAAAGGGCCGTTGTGACGGCTCTCGGTCCCCACGCCGGCTTGCTCATCCGCGGCCACGTCAGCCCAGCAGTGGATTCGGGTCTATACATGCACGTTCCTCGGAATTGCATGGTTCCTTCCGTTTCAAGTATACACCGACTCCCCGAAGACCAGCTCGGGGCACTATGAGACTCCCGTGTTGCTGCAGTATCTGTGAGCGCTCGTCAAGTGCGCATGCGGCCTCACATTCATACCATCGGTGAAGCAGTCGACGCTACCGACCCATCATGGGTCATGTGGCTGCAGCAACAGGTGTACAGGTGTAGGTCGAGCATGCAAGGAAACGAAAGACGCAGTTCCTACGCCCTGCCCCCTTTTTCCGGTGGGTAGTTGCTCAAACTGGCTTGGGATGTGAGGCACTGGCTGACTTCATCATGCGTGTCCTGACACTTTCATCTTGTCCAGGTTCGACACTGCCATGGCGTGACCAATGTCTACACTGCTTCATGTTGCAACCATGCGCGGCCGGCACACAAGGAACACATTCGGTGGATCTCGTCCAGATGTTCACGTTTTGAGGATGCGACAATAGGCCATCTTCTCAGTTTTCCACGCATTTTTCGGCCCCGTATTCTCCAAGAGCTCGCCATTGAGGAGAAACTGGCTCAGTGTGCCTCGAGCGGGCCTCGACTGAATATCTTATTTTCCCGGTGCGACAGTACGTGAGCCGGCTGGGATCCTTCCAGCTCGCTTCTCCTTGCCAAGAGCGTGAACCTTCACCGCCTCGTTGAGCAGTGTCGTTCTGGCGGAGTGCCAAGTGAAGTTCTTCAGACGGAGATCCACCTCTTCGGGTTGAGGTTCCCTTCCTTCAGATCCCCGCTTCAATAAAACACTCGCTCTTTGATCTTGATCCAACAACTCAGCAGGCAATCGAAAGCGATTTAGCGTCCGATCTGCGAAAAGGCTTGACATTTGAGGAGTTCAAATCTTTGACACTTAGGGCACCTGAGGGCACCATGTTGCAACTTGCTTTACCATGTTACTTTCCAGGCGGTGCATTTCAAAATTTGTGCATTATCCGTGTGCCGTATTCGTACGCAGAGAAGCATTTTCATTTTACCTCACTCAGCGAAGCTTTCAAAGCCATTGGGATTCGAATCCTGATCAGTTTCGCGCGTGTTTGCCCGAACGACTAACCCCGGCAGCCAACTTGGACTCTGTGACACCAAATTAGCAGTTGTTTGCACATGCAAAGTTACAGCAATCTGATTTCTGAGAAGCCAGCTTCATAACGTGTCGCAGCAGTTTTGCCGCGTTTAACATAGCACAGTTTCATGTTCATGAAGTCGCAACTCTGTATTGGCCTGTTTGACCTGTAGCCTGTAGCTTGTCGAGCAATCGCAGCTACCCGAGGACTATTTAAGACCAATAAGCAAAAAATTGGGAACAGATCAAGCGACCGTGGTGATTCTTGCAGAGGCAGGCGCTGCCAGAGTTTTGCAACCTTTTGTTGTCGTTGCGCTTGTAATATTTCGAGGAAGCACGTGTGCTCCCTGAAGGAACGCTTCCAAAAGCGGACGGGGCGACCCCTACCGTTGATGACCGTCCAAGTCGGCTTTCGCTTGCAAGAACGCTTCCAGTACAGGTTGACGAATGACTTCCTATTGAGCGTGGCAGACAAGTATGGGTTTCCTCCCACTGTGGACAAAGTAGGCCCTGATCTAGCAATTCAGGACGCCACCAAAAATGTGGCAGCCTGTTTGTTTGGTTTGAGTGATGATGCGACGAAACGATTCTTGCGGTTCGTGCCTGAGGAACAGGTCGCCAAGATTCTAAAAAAGCACGGTCTTTGACCCTGTGACTTTTTCAATCCAGGGCTCACATGCCGTGAATGTACCAAGAGGTAGTGCTCCATGCACTGCTTTGGTCTTCGCCGAGGATTGCTGGCCGTCTTGAGTTAAAACAACAGCATGACGGCTGCCCTCAGGGAGGGTGCTGGTGCTTTGGAGGTTTACCAGACGGTTTATCCATATACATCAGACTGCAGCCACAAGCATTCACCGTCATGTGCACCAATCGGTTGGTGTGCCCAGCCTTAAGTGTTAAAAGAGCACGTACCTGTCGTCCGTCCATTATGGAGGATACGATGGAAAACAATCGAGGAATGTAGGCAATCACCAGGGACAGGAGCCATGCAGTGTGAGCCGTTCGAGGGGTCTGAGGCAGGGGAGTATGCAGCTGCTTGCGGTTGCACTGCTTTACGTGTGTAAGTGTGCGAGTTGTAAATGCAGGACTCAGACCTGGTGCAGGACATATTGGAGGCCCAGTTTTACTGCTTCAACCTCAAACTGTGTGGCGGTACAGGTTGTGCTGTCTGTGAGCCCATGTAAGCATCTGTTTCATTTTCAAACCCGCCTTTCTGAACAATAGCACCCTGAACCTGCGAGATCAGTTTAGTAACTCACTAACGCTCACCTCGCCCCCTATCGAACCGCTACAACCAGTAGAAGTTGCACCGGAAGTCTTCAAGATATTTCTGGATGGTCCATTGGGTGGTCTTCCGGACACGAGGCTGGCCGGCAGAACTGGTCCCTGTTGTGCCAGCCAGTGCGGTGGACACTCGCGTCTGAGAGCATGATCGGAGACGTTGCCGTTTCGATTACCGGTGCCGGCGTTTCGCTGCCGGGCTCGGGTTGCTGCTGGTGTCGTCTGCAACTTCAGAGTTCCCGAACATGGGTGTCGACTGCTCTTACAACTCTTGCCCGCATACATGCATGAAGTGACTTTTGCCTTCATCTAGTACACAGCTACCTGTCTATGCATATACGTATGATTGCATTATGAATATCGTATCTACACATTGGTTTCCATGTCCTTGCATGCAACGACATATCCAAGCGTGCTCTTCACTGCATTCGCTTGGGACTGGTCTCACATGCGTTTGGTGCGTGCAGGCAGGACCTCGCGGTGCTTTGCACAAGACGATCCATGAAAAGATTGTCAAGGGCGAGAACTCGTTCGCACTTGCCGAGGCGTGGTTCCACAGAGTGTGCAGCGGTGTGGAACACATTGCAGGCTATACTGCGAGGCTGACAAGTTTAGCTTTTCAGTTGATGCACAGCTATTCAACGAGTGTATCAGAAGCAGCTATGGCGATATCCTCCAAAGTTGCATCGTGCTTCGTGGGGGGGGGGGGGGGGGGGGNNGGGGGGGGGGGGTGGGGATGCGCTCAGCTTGGGCACGTGCGGCCCGGCCCCTCAGTTCCGATTTTATGGGCTTGTTCAGGTGTGCTCAATAAGGCTGCCTTGGAGAAGGCAGAAGGTTGTACTGGTGGTTGCAGAGACTTCGGCACGCAGATCCAAATTGTCCACGTAGGACGCCGTAGGATTGGCAGCTTGCGCAGGCACAGGCGAATCTGCAAAGGCTCCACGAGGCCGGGGATCAGGAAGGCGTTGCGACCCTGCTCGTGGCAGAGGCGGGAGCCGGGGAGGTTTCGGCCTAGGCAAACTCGACTTCGGATTCTGGAGTCTGCACACGCAGTCACAAGGTGATCCCATCAACTTAAACGCAAGTCAAGTTGGACAGCTTAAATCTCATTTGAAGCGGGTAATTGTTTCTGAGCTCATGTCTGAGATTCGCAGGCAGAGTGTCTTTCCGCGTTTCGAAACTGGAATGCGGCGGTGGGGGCCGCGACCGAGGGATTGCTGCTGGCACGGCAGCTTTCAGTCAGGCTGGAATTGAGGGGAGTCAGATGGTATGTCGGTATCGTTCCATCACCTGCTCGCCACAAGGTCGCTGGAATGTTATGCGTCTTTTGCAGTCCTTCCTTATGCATACCTGCAGCTGGGGGAGTCAGACAAAGCATCTGAAGCTGCAGAAAGCGCTTATGCCCTCTGCCGTCAAATGGTTGACCGGAAGATGCGGGCGAAAACTTGCATGGTGGTGGCCAGAACTCTTCAGATGGTCGCATCGTCGGATGCAGAGACTTGCATTCGGGAGGCCGGTCTTCTAGGCTTTTCCATCCGTCTTTCTTGAGGCATACTTGTGGGCGCTGTCAGCATAAGGGACCTCTTGTTGTTCTAGGCGCTGTCGATTTTTCGGGCATTGGACGACCGAGCCGGAGAAGCTGCAGCGCAATGCACTCTTGCTCAGGACAGGTCCTCACCTGCCAATTCCGATGCTTGCCAATTCTGGCTGCCTCCCTGTGAGGTCTTGATTGCAAGAAGTGCATGCCAGGAAGCTGTGAGGCATGGGTATGACAACGGACAGCAGGCCTAGGAGCCTAGAAACTCGGCAGGCCTGCAAGAGAGGCCGTGCGCCTTTCCGCTGGCCGAAACGCTGTTGCAGCAGAAACCTACGCCCCTGCCTCAGCCGCCTTGGTCGGCCTCGTCGGACTCGCCCCGGACTCGCCGGATGCTGCGCAGAGGTTGCGGCTCTGCTCGGCTGCGGCCGACACTCAGAGGCAAGGCAGGCGGCCGAGAGCGCTTTGGCTGAAGCACGGCAACCTGGCGGCCATTGGCGGCCATTGGCCTCAGCGACAGCATGCGACAGCGACAGTGACCGTGTCACGTCTGATGCAGGCAAAGCGGACACAAGGACGGGGAAGCTGCCATGCTCGCCTCTTTGGCACAAACCGCCGTTTGGAAGCAGGCAGCGACTGAGAGGCCACAAGACGCGTTTGCGCAGTGAACGTCTGCTCCGAGGTAGAGAAGGATAGCTTGGAGTCTGCACTCTCGCTGGTCCAGGACCAATTGCCGTGCTTGTAGCAACGAGTTCTGTTTACTGTCTAACAGCGCGCTGCAAGACAGGTGACTCGATGTCTGGAAGGTCTAGAGTCTAGAGGGTTGTGCAAGCACAGGAGCACAAGCGTCCCCAGGTCGAAGGTCATGCAACGCGCGAACCTTGTGAGAACCCTGCTCTTCCATCCCTGTGCTGCTAGCGGCATGGCCCGGGCAGGATCTTGTCGAGCAAAATTGGATCCAACAGCCCAAATTATTGCCGGCATTAGGTCTCTGATTAAAACCTCTGCACAACAACACGGCCAGCCTGTGCTCCTGATTTCCTGCTGCTCTTTTGGGACACACTCTGTGGCCAAGACTGGCCAGATTTCGGACTCACTCCGGTTGTCCTGTAGAAGTAGACTTCATCCACAGATGCTCATCTGCCGCAGCTTTGCATTGCCATTATTGTTGAACTTGTTGGACCCCCACAAGTCTCCAAAGATGCATTGGGTTCATGCTACCGATCTGCTCGTCTCTGCATTGGCTACAGGGAAGTTTTGTGCGCTCAGCTCGCGGTTCTGCACGTAAGATTGTGTGATTTGACGTCGAGGCCTGGCCGGTGAGATCCGAGAATTCACTTGCACCATACACCCTGTTCCATACACCTTGTTCAGAGCTGCCACGGGGACCCTGCAGTGGCATGTGGCTATAGGCTTTAGGATCTCGAGGTACATTGCGAGAGCAATCCGTGGTCGCTGTTTGGGGGACGGCCAGGTCGTATGCACTTGTATGCTGTCAAGTCCTTCGGGTCTTCGTCGCTGGACTCTGCTCCTCACGAGGTTTCTGCGCGTTTGCATCCGCGCTGGCGCTGCTGCTGCTGCTGCTCCTACTTGTTTGTGCCTTTTGCGGCAGCACCTCTTGCTGAGGTTTTGCAGAGCCCCATTTATGCTACAGCGCTTGCCAACCCATACTTTTCTCTTGGGGTTTGGAATTTCCCAACTACGATATTCTGCCGGGGTTTTGGGTTTTCCAACCAACATCTCATTCCGGGCTTGGCAACCAATATCTTCTTCTGGGGCTCTGGGGCTTGCCAACGAGCATTACGTTTGGGGTTTCCGGCAGGCCAGCCAGCTTCTGCTTCTGGGCTTCAGGGGCTCACCGCCAAATGCTCAGGGTCTGCAACATAATTACTGCAATTGCCATCAGGTTAGGCAGCGGTTTGCATGGCAGCCACTATCACTATTTTTCTTTTTGATATGCCACGATGTTCTTTTGGGGTTCGTGGTTTGCCAACCAACAACTCCGTTCAGGGTATGCTACGGTCTAGGGCTTGCCATTCAACATCTGTTTTGAAGGTGTCGGGCTTGGCAAGCTAACTTCTTCTTTCAGGGTTTTTGGGCTGGCTAATCGACATCGCGTTTGCCAACCAACAGTGGCATGCCACCCAACGATCCGGGTTTCCAGCCAACATAACCGGCATTATTTAAGGCAGCGGTGTGCGGTTTGCCAACGAATACTATCTTCTTTTCGGGTTTGGGGTTTTGCGTAGCGCGATCTATTTTAGGGTTCGGATTTGCCAACCAACAACTCCGTGTAGGGTAGGCTGCGGTTCAGGGTTTGTCAAGCAACACATCAATGTTATTCTCTTTCGGGTTTGGGGCTTTGCCCACTGCCATCCTGTTTTAGGGTTTGGGGTTCGCCGACCAGCATCTTCGCTCGGTTTCGGGTTTGCCAACACTGCCTTGTGGGGTTCAGGGGTTTGTCACCCAATGTTCAGGCGCTGCCACCAAACATAATCAGAATGTAGGATTCTATAGCGCGGGTCGAAGTTGGGGCAAGTTTTTTTGCGGCGTTCGAAGAGCGGAAGGCCTGTATGCACGATTTCAAGCTTTTGCGCAGTTCACGTATCTTGTAGATGGGTTGGAAGTGGGGACTTGTTCGATGCATTCAAGGGGAGGTTTGTCCCGTCGACCATCATCGCATTGGATAGCTGAAATTTGGACATCATGTTTGTTCTGATTCCTGCTGTGCAGTTGCGCTTTTGGGACCCGAGGTGCCAGTTCGCTGTCGCTTGAGCAGCCGCTTGTTATCCTGAATTGCTCATGATATCTAGCGAAGCTTCGCCCACGTGTCCGAATTTGCTTGCCTGAGTTGTCTTGCGTCTCCAAATACTGTTTCTTTTCTGCACCTGTCCTCATCCGAAAGAGCCGCCCACAAGCTGCCTTTCTCGCCGGGTCCGGTCGGCCTGCCAAAGCCATGTGTGAGTGTCACGTGGCTGGATGATTGTGTTTGCAGATGTCGTATGACGTCGTTTCCCTGATTGCCCTGGATGCTTGAGCTATCTATAAGAAGCTCGCAACTTGTTGCCTTGTTGTCGAATGGCAGGAAGCTTTGCAGCTTTTTCAGCAGATCCGTCTGAAGACAGCTGCAAAGGTTTATTTGGAGGCTTCGAATCTCTGACCCGTGGGCACAGTCGTGGGTACTGTTTGACTTCGAATGCTCACCAGGCCAGCAAGATACTCTGCAGCAGTGGGCTGATGGATGAGACTCTTTTGCATGCGCAGGACTTTCTTTCTGGAAGCACAACTGTTCCAAAGCCTGGCAGGTTTCTGTAATTTGTTGCGGCGCTGGTAGAACTCTCAAGCTCAGTTAGTCTCGAGGAGGCTCTCGTATTGTTTGGGCGTGCACGAGACTGGCTTGGAGAGAGATCTGCCAATGCGGTTCTCAGTGAGGCCGGACTTGCTTGATAAGCTAGGCCCATCTAGGAGTCATGGCAGGTGTACAGCCGTCGTGGTGAGCCGCAGCTGGCACCCAACAGGCCTACAATGCCTGCAAGTAAACAGCACCTTTGCAAAGCTCAATGGCACTGCGCAAGGCCTGAGGCCATGCGACTGGTGAAGGATATGGCCCAGGCTGTACAAGAGCGGAATGCAGACCAGTTTCACAGTGCTGCAGAAAGATACGTGGCTTTGACATGCAGTTGGGTTTTGGCTGAGCAGAACGACTCAACATTTGCTGAGGTTTTCTCCGTCGCCATGCCATGCCATTCCATGCCATGTCATGCCGCTTCTGAGGCTACCCTGGCTGTGTCCAGAGCACCTGTGTCTACAGCGGAACATCGTGAAATCTTCAAAGGCATCCTGCGGAGGCAGAGAGCACTGACCAAACAGATTAAAGTCTCAAAGTGGGCTTGCAGAGTCTTGACATTTCAGGGACGTGGGGGCCTCCGGAGATTTCATCCGTGCAAATGCAGTGGCAACGACGTCCTCTGCGACGGCTGTGGGCACCACTTTCAAGGGAGTGGCTTGCTTTCTTCCAGCTGCCTCTCGCTCTTCAGCACCTTCCAACGCATTTGGTCCGGTGCTTTCTGACGCAAGCTGTCGCTGAGGCAGAGAAGACGGCGTTCTACATGAACTTCCGCAGCTCGGGCATCGCCTACGGACCTAGGCATTGGAAAGCCACAACAACGCCAGCACTGTTCTGCTTCAGCTGGACAGGTACCGTGCTGTTGATGTGGCGCTGGGTCGTACGACTCCTGGGAAAGGCGACGAAATGGCAGGTTTGTGGTGACTGGTAGCCATCCGGCACTCGGGGAAGCTCAATTTTCATATAGGCCATGGAACGCGAAGCTCACATTCGGTTAACGTCGTGCCTTAGCAGGTGTTGGAGCGAGTTTGGTATGGTTCATACTTGCACGACGGGGCCAGGTGGCAAGCTACATATGCCTGCGGAAAATCAAGATAATGCGCTATGATGGCATCCCGTCCATTGCGGGTTGAGGGCGGTAGGGGTGTGAGATGAGGGTACCGGCATTATAGTGCCCCATGGCCATAGACACTGTCGTAAACTAGTTATGTCCATGTGCAGCCATATCGCACGCTTTCATGAAGCCAGCTTCGCGTTCAACAGTGCAAGTCACATTCACGTTGGATGACGGAAGTCGCCTCCCAGCGTCTTGGCAACGATGAAGCTTAATACCGCGGGGGGCGGGGGGGGGGGGTGGCCGGCTTAAACCGGACATGAGCGCCAGCTGGAACCATGGTTTTCCTTGTATACTAGAGACCCTGACAACAGCATAGTATAGAGAACGAATTGTAAGTGTGTCGTGGTTGCACGCTACCGACACGCCTTCAATGCAAGGCTGGAGTCTTTTGTTTCGCTTCGTCGTCATTGACTGAGCTTTCTAGAATTTTCCCGCGAACCATTTCTTAGTTCTCATGAGCCATCGAACTGGATCTCTAAGGCAGGATCCTGACTATCAAGAACTTCAGAAACTCAAGTATAGTCTAGTTGTGTCGCCGTTGCACGCCGTCTATGTCAACGTGGGTTGTATTAAATATTCCTGTGATCTCAAATCTACAGGAACCAGATCACTTGGAAAGAATTCTGGCAACGAAATAGTACACCAAGAAACCGAAACATGGGTGTGACGCGGTTGTGTGCCACCGACATCGCTGCGTACGCCTTCAATGCAAGTCTAAAATCTAAAACCATTCGTTCCACTTCCTCGTCATTGTCTGGGCTTTCTTGAGTTTTCCTGTGAATGATTTCACACGAAACTACTGGACTGGGATCACTAGGGTAGAATCCTGACAACAGCATGGTATGTCAAGAAAGCGGGTTGTATGCCACTGACGTCTCTCCGAACGCCTCCATGCAAATGTCTGATTTTTCGTTTTAGCACCCTCGACTTTGTCAGAGTTGTCTTGTACTCATCGGAAAGAACACAAGTCGTATAGAAATCAGCAAGCATATATATCCCGAGCTACTGACAGACAGACGCCTTTATGTCGACATATCATATGCATCCACTGTGACACTGTGACACAGCAACGAGGGTTGTTTGCACTGGCTGTCGCTGGTAGTGCGAATTGAAGTATGCGCATGTCGGGCGCTTCGCAAGGATTGTTCCCACTCGCATACGTGCCCCTGAGTTGTAATATCAATATGTTTGCTGGTGGGTTACAGCCTCGCCGACTTGCTTCTGTGGAAAGGTTAGCATGACTGGGAAACCCACCTCATCGATGGTCATCTGAGTCATCTGGACACATGTCAACTGAACGTAGTTCCTTGACCGGTACGCAAGTTCTGGCTGCTGTGGACCACTACCAGTGATTGCTGCCAGGCTAACGAGCAGAAGGATGCGTTGTAGACGTGCGCGCGAACTGGGATTGATTCATGCAAACCTGAGCTCTATGTGGGCATCTCGTGTCGAGATAGCAGTCTTGAGACCATCCACGCTTTCGAATTTTGTTCGGGTTGAGTTGCCAGATGGTGTGTAAAGGCATGAACACTGGCACACTACCTTCCAGGAAGGCGCGCCAGCTGACAAAGGGCACGACAATGCGAACAAGGGTATGCATAATATAGTAGTTGTGCACGCGAAATCGGATTGCGTGAAATCGGATGGTTGATGGGAACCTCAGCTCTATGCGGGCATCTCGTCTCGAGATAATAGTAGTCTTGATTGAGGCTATCTACGCTTTCGAGTTTCGTTCGGGTTGCAGTTTCTGCATTGGTGTGTTACGGCATGACAGGTGGCAAAAAGACTGCCAACCCAAACGGCACACTACCATCCAGGAAGGCACGCAAGTTGACAAAGGGCACGACAATACGAGCACACGTATGCATAGTAAAGTGCACACGAGTTCGGGTTGATGGATGCAGCGCACATCTCGTCTCGAGGTAGTAGTCTTGCGACCATCCACACTTTCGAGTTTCGTTCGGGGTTGCACTTACTAGATGGCGTGTTAAGGCATGACAAGATGTGGTCTAGTGGTGTTTGCAGTACTAATTTACCCTGAGACCTTGAGACTTGAAGCCGCTAGAATCGTTTCACATGTCACAGGCATGCATCCAGGCTTGTGGCTCCAGGTTCTAGCTTATGGAAAAGAAGCGTTTGGTCTCTGGTAATCCACCCATTCAGTTGGTGCCGTGGCAGACGCTTTCGAATCTAACAGAGGCGCAAAGCTAATGCCAGCATATGCAAGCTATCTGCTAACAAAGCTGTCGACATGCACTTGCAAGTGTTGCTTCTCAAGGTGACTTCTCGTCACGTGTTGAAGCATCGCTACTCTGGATTGCGACTGTGCAGTCACTCGGTGGTTGCCGACGGGAACTCGCGTTGCTGCATTGATGCTTTTTCTTCCAAGCCGCGATTGTTGATGCAATGTACAGTTTGAGAGGATTGCAGTGGATTGTTCCCAGCAAAAGTCGACCTTTTAGATTGGACAGTCATTGGTTTGTGTAGCTGTAAATCCATTTCCCGTGCACAGACCTCCGACGGCACGTCGTCCGAGAAAAGTGTCCGTTGAGTGCCTGCCAGGGTAAGGGTGATTGACAGTGAAGAGAACGTCTACTACGCCTGCAACACGCGACCACATTCAACATCACAATGCTCGGTGAGGTGAGGAACCCGAGCTATATCAACAGCAAATCCTCACGCATTGGATATAATAATATAAAGAGCATGTATAGGTATGTATGTATGCATGCATGCACATATAAATATGCATGTACATATACATATACATATACATATACATATACATATACATATACATATACATATACATATACATATACATATACATATACATGTATATATAAATATATGTATATATACACATATACATAGCTTTTCCAGCAGGATTTTCGTCCAGACTGAAGACAACAATACCAAGGCTCTTTCACGCTTGGAAACAGCACAAACGGGTTGAAAACAGCACTATTTTGGGAGCTTTGTTGCTACTGCCGGCCCCGTGGTTGTTTTTTCCAGTCGTTGCGCGTCGCATGGTTTTGGTAACGAAAATCGGCATAAACATGTTTTCAAATCAACCACATTTGCCGTAGCCATGCAAAGCCTGGGTTTTCGCACCGGAAGCAGAAATCGAGAAACCCGTAAAATACCACATGCACCCTTCAATGACAAAGTTGATGTCCAAATCAGCCAAAACGCTATAGAACCTGCGAAACCGATTTTGAATTTTTTGTTTTTCCCAAGGAGTTGCATGGTTTTTCATTCCAGCTACGTTCCGTTCTATAGTAGTTACACGGCCGCCTGGGGCTCTCAAAGGCGAAATCCGGGCTCCAAAAGGTGCCATAAACAGTTTTCCCACTGCAAATGCAAAATCCAAAATAAATATGTTGAGTTGGGGCCGGGAATCAAGCAATTCAAAAAGGTCACTGGTTTAAAATACTCAACCTGTTTAATTTGTTGAAATTGTTATTTAATTGGAGCCGGCAAGTAAATATTTCAGATAGTTTAAGTAACTTAAATGACTTGAATCTTGTGGAAGCGGCCTCGGGCCCCCCGGACCCCCTAGAGTCCCTCCCTAGGTTTAATCCATTTAGATTCATAATCTTTTAGCTAAGATAAATCTTGGGGAGGGGGGTCCAGGGGGGTCCGGGGGTCCAAAGATATCCATAGTGCTGTAGTATTGTAACTGTGGTATTTGTGTTTGCTGGACAACCAGCCCCTCTTCAGGGTGCACAAAATGGGTGCCAAAGCCTGGGAATTCGGTAGTATGCCACATTATAATTACAGTTTCGTGTACTATATAGTTTGTTACCGTATACCTACATGGGCACGTTTGCTTTGTTTTGTGTGCATGCCATGCATGCGCCGAGGGCTGCAAGTAAGTTGAGCCGACGGATCAAAAGCGTTCCTTTTTCCTAAATCTAGTACGGGCCCCAGTTTAAGTAAATAGATCATTTGGAATCTTTCTGCAAGAGCTCTGTTTTCATTAGGCAGTTGAGTCCATGGGTTTCTTCGGAGATTTCTCTGGGTTTCCTACGGGTTTTCCATGGATTTCCCCTCCAACCCTAGAGCCGAGGCCCCGTCAAGTATTCTTAAACCCTAGGGTGCCCCCTGTATAGGGACCACGTGATTAAATTACTTAAAGTGAGGCCGTCAAGTATCTGAAACGAAAGTATAGCAATTACACCCCAAACCCGCCCAAACCCAGCCAAACCACGCACAAAACCACCCAACCCCTTCCAAGCCCTGGCAGCCGTGGCAAACCAACTTCACCCTCGCTTTGCGGCGTTTTTTTAAGTAAACCCAGAAGTGAGCGGCCGGAGTGCTATGTCGCTTACTTGTCGGCCTATAGTCCTTAAACCAAGAGGTGAGCGGCCGGAATATCATGGCTGACAATGTTTTGATACAGGCTTTCTGCAAAGCGCCAACCACAAATTTTGAAACCGAAGCAAGACGCAATTACACCCCAAACCGCCCTGGGATGCGTGGCAAGCCCACTTCAACCCCGTGTTGGGGCTTATTAGTCGGCCCATTGTCTTTAAACCAAGAGGCGAGCGGGCTGAATGCCATAGGCTTTGCCACCCCCTCCTGACTCTCCTTCCCTACCCCACGTGCTTTCCGTTAATCTCCAGGCCGATATGTATACTGTATACCGTTCAGCAAGCACGTGCTGTCAGGCGACGACTTTGAAGCCCATGCCTACGCCGTATACCAGATACAAGAGGACGCAGATGATTGGGAAAAGAAGCTCAGTGCGCATCCGTCGCTGCTCGATGCGGCCTTGCAGTCGAGCTCGGTCATCGCGATAGCTCAAAATCTGTAGGTGCAGCGAGCTGCATAGGTTCGATCCAACTAGCTGAGCAAGGATAAACACATCAGGAAGTTACGCAGCACTCGGAGGCCAGATCAAATCATTTTGCTACCATGATTTGTTAATGAAGCAGCTCCAGCACCATTGCTGTGGCAACTTTGCAGCTGGTCTTCCGCTTGAGACAGCCGGACTTTGCGTGCACAGAAAAAGCGCCGCATGCACACCAGCTTCTGTTCAGTCTTTCGTCCCTGGTGCCGTGCCGCTATGCAGATTGCAAGTCAGCACAGGCTGAGTCATCCCGCGATTTTTTTTGGAAAGTGAGCGGGTAGTTTTTGATAGTTTCGACTCGGGCACGTGGGGTCGCCTAAGCCAAAGAACAAGGCATGCGGCTCGTATCCTTGTTTGACATCTGTAGTGCGGCATTGTCTGACGTCTGCAGTTTGTTCGATCAGATCGCTGCTTGGGAGGCTGCGGAGCGCAGGAGCTGCCGATGTTGTTGTCTCGGATTGCTCGCTCGGCGGCGTGGCTCAACACCCGCATGGTGCTAATGTTTTGGAGGTTTACTGAATGCGGTCTTCACAGGTCATCGCTCCTCTAGAGCGCAACATCAAGCCAGATGAGTTCATCTCTTTCAATGGTGGAGGAACCAAGGGGTTGCATGAGTGGCGAGATGCGGCAGCCAACTTATAGACCCTTGTTACCTTGTTAGTACGCAGGACTTCACGGGGCCTTCGAGATTCCAAATTATCGGCTTGAGACCGAGCAACAAGAGATGTTGCAGACTTGAGGTTTGGCTAAGATTTAGACCTGCGCCCGACAGGCGCGCGCCATTCTGGAAGTATTTCTGGGCACAACACTTCGTGACTCGCCAGCACGTTTTCAATGCGGCGACCTCAGACATCTCCAAGTCTTCGACTCCGTACTAGCTACGTTGTGGCTTTTGCGAGGTTCATCACACTGGATACATTGTGCTGTGCGTTTTCTTCTGGTGGCTTGTGGCTGAGCGGCGATGCTTTGTCTCAGCAGTCTTGGGCAGCTTTCGCTGCAAAGGACTGGTGCTTTCTCCACCGCACCAATCGAGCGCAGAGAGAAATACTACATGCATTCGCCAAAGTCGGTTGCTTAGTCACGGTAGTGGCAGCTCTGTTGAGATTGTCTCACATTTTGTGGTGCCAGGTTTAGGCTCCAGACGGCGTACGCCAATCCAGGCACAGTGCAACCTCTACCATCCTCTCTCTCAGTTTGCCTTCGAAGGCACCAGGCCAGCGGCAAAGATTGCACAGGAGCAGGCGAAGGCAAGGCGCTTGGCTTTCGTGTCTCTGTCTTTTGCAGCTGGCGCAGAGACTCGGTTTTGAGGTGCGATATTTCTATAGGGGCCACGATCATGCCTTCACTCTCAACGAGTGGAAATCTCAGCAAAAATTTGCCGTATCCACAGGACACTGAGTGGAAGAATCCGATGGCAGTGCACACAGTCTCGGCAACGAGGCTGAAAGACTTTTACTTCAAGCTGCGCGAGAACTGGCTCATTCAGCTCGGCGCCAAGCGTCAGAACAATTACGATAATTATTGTTTGCGCACAGAAGTCTGCCAAGGCACTACCCAGGCATCCAGTATCCATTCGTCCATCGCAAGATGCTCAGAGAGCGGCTGATTTGCACAGTTTTCGCCGAAGCTCTAGTTTCTGAGCAGCTGCCTGTGCCTTGACAAAGAGCGCAAGAAGATGAAAATTGCAAAAGGACAGATGATCCCGGAGAAGACGGCTGATCCTCTGAAGGCCGCGATGCTCTCACGAGGACTGAGCTGGAAATGAGAACAGCGACCAATGCGTGCAGGTGCCTATCTCCGATCCGCTTCAGCCTGGACAGGGACATTGAGAGGTGCTCATCTGCCACGGTTTGGGTCGCAATTAGCCGCTGGTGTGGCGCTTTCCACGACATGACAGGCGACGCGCTCCCATTTCTGAGGCTGAGCATACAAAGCAGAACCTCTCGCGGCGGCTCCATTACGCTCCCCAGTGGATTTGTTCCCAGTGTGCACTTGACTTCAGTCGTAGGAGCGCTTAACCGCTTAACTATCAGTAAAATCTGCAACGATGCGACTTCTGACATCCGCTTGATCTTTGATTCGTTGGAAAAGCAGCTCGTGCATTGCTTTCCCCTCCAGCCATGTCTTTTCCACATTGGCATGGCACTTTCCGTGCTTGCTTGTCTCTCTCCGTCTGTCTGAGTTCTTCTGTTGGCTTCTGCCCCGATATCTTCAACCTTCAGCTTACATATTTGCTCAACCAGATATTTGTAGTATATATGCATGGGATCTCGAACGAGGAGGCCACATGAGGAGCATCCTGACAGCAGAGTGTTCAATGACAACTTCACTTTCGCAACGGAACTTGCGAATCGTCCTCACTCCGCTGCCATGGTTGTCCGAAGGCCAGTACAACATGCGTTGCACCCGCACGCTAAGCAAAGTCGCCATTCATTTAGCTTACCTAGACCTGTCTGATTCTTGACCTCAGTTGCCAGCATGTTCCAATGGAGGCTGAGATATGCCAGAGCTGGGAGCATCTTGTTGATGGGCTCTGTGCGGGACCTGTGTCGCCAGCAGCTAGCAGACCTGGGCAACCTTCCCAGCCAGGTCGTTCTTGGTGCCTTCAAGCCAGTCTCATTTACAGGCAATGGATGTTGTCAAGGCCTTGAATGACAGCCGTTTCCAAGATAATGGAAGGTTCAGCGCAGGCCGACGGGCCACAGACTCGGCACTCGCTATAGTTTTAGACACGATGTGTAACTTGTGCGTTAATGCTTGAAGCCGAGGATGCGCTCTCGTAACGGTCGGCCGCACATGGTCGCACAGGCTGCGGAGAAGGCATGTTACCGACTTTTGTGAAGTTTAAGGTATGCCGTCAGCTCAGCTCGAGTTTCTTAGGTTCCGGAGTTGCCGCCCTTCAAGCAGTTGTTGGAGACCAAGTTGGGTCGTGGGCTGCCAGTCCACAAGTTTTGGGCATGTGAGCTGCTCAGTCCTGACGACTACGACCCAGATCCGCTGGACAAGTTTATTGAGTGCAAGCCTCAAGCATCTCAACTCTTCCACACGGACGCTTTGGTTGTTGGTTGTAAGTAGATACAGCAGAAGTGCAGATCGCAACCTCGAATGGTGCCTCGACGGCTGGGCGCGTTCAGGAAGAGGGTCGCTTTGGTTTCGGGGAGTACTTGTGCTAAAGGAGCCTTACTTGTCTGCCTGACTGATTGCTCTGCAGCCCGATAGCGAGCGTTGGTGGGTGAGCACAATCTCTGATGAGCGTAGTGTGGAGCAGGGGAGACGGATGGAGACGGCTGAGAGCGCGTGATTCTTGCCTGTCCAGGACTGGCTAAGCCCAAGCTGAAGTGGGATGTCTTTGGATAAAGCTTGCATGTTGCTGCCCGGTGTTCCGACGTACCTGTACGTCTTCGGAGCGGACACGCAACTAGATTCCAGCCTTTTCCAGCTAGATCGGCTGGTGCTGCTGGTGGCCCATGGTGGCCCAAGGGCTGGTTGAATCGGGGCTGCAGCTGATGCTTGTGATAGGCTTGTTTGCAGGTGACTCACGATGCTGGCCCGCACACCATCACTTCGGTGGCTTGAATCTGCCTGGCGCGAGCTGGTTGTCGGCTTGAAGCAGAAGCCTTTGTACTCATGATGCTCGTGGCACGACAGCGTTTTGAAACATGGCTTGCAGCTGATGTCCACTCGTGCAGCTGATTCTCATGATGTCTGTCTGCGTGCCCGGCTTGAATCATGAATGGGAGCTCGGCAGTTTGGTGCGCGGCTGAAGCTGGCAGCACGTCAGCAACTTGACCAGCAGACCAGAGCTGCCAGTCATGTTTTTCGCCGAGTCGCCGGCGGTCAAAGGCCGTGCATGGCCAGCTTCAGCCTCCACTGGGGCTTCATTGGACCTGCTATGACCTGCTGCACGCTGACGAAATGCTTTCGCACAAAGCCACTGCCACCGATGATTTTCTGCATGCCGGCGCACGACGACAGAGCTTCGGAATCTGCCCTACACCTGCCAAGGTTCCAGCCACGGCATGATCCAGGTTTTCAGGTGCGCTTGGACCCGAAGCGGACGCGGTCGCTCATGTCCGGCGGTTGGGCTCGGAAAGGCTCGTGTCAATTTCAACAATGCGCTGGATGAGCTGTTCCGCACTACCTCTCGGCGCTAGCCTCCGGGGATAGCTGAATTTCTTATCAACCGAAGGTTGCAACAAGGGGTGCGGGGAGCGGCCCGCCTGGAGGTGGGCATTTTCTGCATGGTTTCAGACTCCACCTGGAGCTGGATTTGGCCCTCTTGGTCCGTTTTTTGGGTGTCCAAAAGGGGCGTGTCAGACCGCCTTTAAATGGAAACACGAGGTACCAATGATGCTCATGATTCTGCCTGGCGACAGTGATGCTCATGATGCTCTTAGCGACTCTGTGTGGGCCCTCAACGATGCTCACGGTGCTCGTTTACCGGCTCCGACTAACAACACCAAAAGCATCAACAACAACAGTAACTTCCCCAATGATGCTCATGCGCTCACCCACAGGCTCCGATTGGGCACCCAATGATGCTGACGATGCTCGCTGAATGACGTAGTGGCTCTGATTGGAGCCCAACAATACTCATGATGGTCGCCCACCGGTTTCCCGTCAGAGGTCATGGCAAGAGTGTCTTGCCAACATCGGAAGAATGCGGGTGTACCGGCGTGTGCGCCGCATACCGATACCTGTCACAGGGGGTACGCTATACAGTGTATACAGGGTACAACTTGTTACGGGCATCGGATCGGCGTGTTTGTGTGTGTGTGTGTGGCTGTGTGTGTGAGAGATCTCGCATACGACTTGTTCTGGGCATCGGCATGTGAATGTGGTGCGGTTACACATCACAGCCTGTTTTGAGACCACCCATCACAAGGGGTGCGAATTGTTTCTAGATGTGTCTGTTTTGCGCTCACACATTACAGGGTGATTTGTTCCGGGCATCGGCGCGTGAATGTGGTGCGATCACACATCACCTGGGGCTACGTCTTGTCGCCGGCATCCGCGTCTGCATGTGGTGAGGTCACACACACACATCACAGGGATGTGCATCTGCTTGCACGCGGAGTACGGTTTGTTGCAGGCATCGGATTGTGTATGACCGGTCATCGCAAGGGGTGCCATTTGTTGCGAGTATCGGATCGGCGTGTGTCTGTTGTGAGATCACACATCAGAGGGGTGTACGATTTGTTGTAATTGTCGGCATGTGAATGCTTTGAGATCACAGCTCGCAGGGGCGGCGTGTGCATGATCACACATCACAGGAGGTTCATGTGTTACGGGCATCGGACAGTGTCTGTAGGGAGATCGCACATCGTACGAATGTGGTGGGAGCATACATCACAGCGGATACATTTCTTTTATGTGCATCGGCGTGTGTATGTTGTGTGATCATTCATCACCGCTTCTTGCTTCCATCGGCGTATGTATGCTAATGCGATCACACACCGCAAGGGGTACGACCTGCAACTTGCATCAGCATGCGTGTGGTTTGAGATCACGCCTCACGCTGGGTACGATTTGTTCCCGGCATCGGTCTGTATATGTGATGTTACGGGCATCGGCGTATGCATGTTTTCGAGCTCGCATCACAGTACCACTTGTTCCGGGAATCGGCGACTGAGTCTCGTGAGATCACGCGTCGCAACGATTCCAAGAAAAGTCCGTCGTAATAAGGGCATCGGCCGATGGATGTGGTGAGCTCACTCATCACATGGGGTACGATTTGTTGCGGACATCGGCATGTGCGAGTGTCTCTGTTTGTGGCAAACCTGTTTCTTCGCCACCAAAGGGTCTTCAAGCCGAGTTTATACACAAATGCTAGAATGC